ATGAATGTGTAAACCTTTCTTGTGTTGCAGGTATGATATTAAAGTCGAATGTGGAATGCCAATTAATCTTCACAAATCCAAGGCTCCAGATGCATGTTTTTTCTTTGCAGATAATGTAGTCGCCATTGATCATCATCTTGATGACGTTTATGTTTTATCTCTTTACGAAGAGGGCACCACAGAAAGCTCTTTCTTGAATGATACTGAAGAGAAGCTCACTAGCCTGAGAGATTCATCAGCGAGAAAGTGGAAGGATCAAACACTTCCTGTTATAGATTCATCTCAATGCAAAGAAAGTTTTGTCCCTGACAAATCCCGAGAGCAGTATATAAACGATGTTCAGAGCTGTATGGCGTATATCAAAGACGGGGAGAGCTACGAGCTTTGTCTCACGACTCAGAACAGAAGGAAAATAGGCGATGCGGATTCTCTGGGAATTTATCTCCACCTGAGAGAGAGGAATCCAGCACCATATGCAGCCTTTCTCAACTTCTCAAATGCAAATCTGTCTTTATGCTGCTCGTCCCCTGAAAGGTTTCTTAAGCTGGACAGATATGGAATGCTAGAAGCAAAGCCGATTAAGGGTACCATAGCTCGTGGCTCCACACCTGAAGAAGATGAACTTCTTAAATTGCAATTAAAACTCAGGTACCCTGAACACAAATCTCCCATTACTTAGCCTTTGCATATCATGAGTGTCTCGGATTGTTCTAGAATTGTCGGTCTTATAACTTATAGTTTTTAACATAACAAAATTCTGCCCGTCAAATATATATGTGCTGTATTACATCTTTGACGAGCCTAAGTCTTGGCCATAAAATGTCTCTGTATTATCCACATCAATGCTACTTTAACATTGTTTCTTTCTTTCCCTCTCTTGTAACAGTGAGAAGAATCAAGCTGAGAATCTGATGATTGTTGACCTTCTAAGGAATGATCTTGGTCGTGTCTGTGAGCCTGGCTCAGTCCATGTACCTAACCTCATGGACGTGGAATCATACACAACAGTACACACTATGGTGAGCACGATCCGTGGACTGAAAAAACCAGATATCAGTCCAGTGGAATGTGTAAGAGCAGCATTCCCTGGCGGTTCGATGACTGGTGCCCCAAAACTAAGATCCGTTGAGATTCTTGATTCTCTAGAGAACTGTTCAAGAGGCCTTTACTCAGGCTCAATTGGGTATTTCTCATATAATGGTACATTTGATCTGAACATTGTGATAAGAACAGTTGTGATACATGAAGGTGAAGCTACCATTGGAGCAGGAGGAGCAATAGTTGCATTATCAAACCCAGAAGAGGAGTTTGAGGAGATGGTTCTTAAGACTAGAGCTCCTGCTAATGCAGTCATGGAGTTTTGTAGTCACCAGGGGAAACAATAATAGTCCCTTTCTCTTCAAAGTTCAAAACAATTGTTTTTGGTGGCTTTAAAACAGTTATATCTTTTGTTATTTTGTTTATTATTGTAAAATTCATTCGCATTATGAGACATTTGGCTCAAATTCAAAAAAATAAATATATAAATTTTTAGTTGTTTGTGGTACCAATTAAAATTTGTATGCAACCCCACTGGAACATCTTTAACTTTCACTTTCACAAATTTGAGTACTATGTTTCATTTATTGAGTTCAGACTGCAAACGTAAATCATATCCATGAATCATTGGACTGTTGCTTGCAAAATTGGTGACCATAAATAGTAAAAAGCTGGTTTGCAAAAAAATAAAAATAAAGTATAAAGCTTATTCTTTTAATCCAATAATATTTTTTATACATTTTTTCAATCTTTTTTGCCAGTTTCTAAAAGAAATTTAAAATCACTTTTTTAACTTTTCTTATTTTGTGAATAAGATAGTATAAATACTATAAATCGATAAATGAAGAGTTTTGTTACATTTTTTATTAGCTAACTAGGAAGATATAAAGAAAATTAAGTTAAATTTTATAATATTTTTGATATTTTTAGTTTATAATATATTATGTTAAAACTTCAAATCATACACATATTGATGTAAAAATAATAATAATATACATATATATAAAGAAACTTATACACATATTAAAATGTGGTCTTCAAAATTAGGGGCCTAATTAAGGCTATGATATATTGCCTTGTTTTTTTCATAGGAGGTACGAGCTTGTCAGTGAGTACATGGATGCATCTTGTTCAGTGGATCTTCAAATTACTCAAAGAGTTATACACTATCTATAGAATGATCTACGACAAGGATATATTGTTTTATCCCGAAACATGTACTATGTCTATGACTGTGTTCGAGCCTTTCACTGATGTAGATTGGGATATTTTTCCCTTATTCCAAATATTCTCTTGTTTGCTATTGTGGTTTTCTTGGTGTTTCTTTTAAGATATATGTAACGTTTCACATGAGCAATGTAGAAAGAGTACAAATCAAATTCCAATGCAACTAGTGATGATCTAGCCTTCTTTGATTGTAATAACTTTCTCTATATCTTGGTTTATAATCCGAAACCACAACTCTTTTATGTGATAAATGAAAGTTAATCTATGGTTCTGAATGGTAACATGCATAAAGAATGATTGCGAGAAAATTGTGGTGCGGTTCTAATAACAAAAATATTTAAATTCTATGTATATGTAAAGATTTTTACCACTCATCGTGTGGGACGGTCACCACTAGAAATAATATCACATTAATAGACATGTAATAAGTTTCTTGTACAAAGCATGTATGTGACAAGACAAGATTTTGTAATAATCTTTTAGTTGTCCTTAGAAAAATATATGCTCGGCCAAAACTACATTATTAGTAGTCAATGATTGTAATTACACTGAAATTGAAACTAAGCTCAACAAAGAGAAAAAAGGAAAAAGAGACAAAGGAAAGAAAGAAGGATGGAGGAAACAAAAGATGGGAGGCAAAATGATTGAGCATGAGAAATTATTCAATTATGTTTCCATGAGAGTGAGTGTGTATGTGTGTGCTTACTGCTTAACTTTTATTTACTTATCACTTTTTTTTACAAGTAAAAAGTGGATTAAACTAACTAACTGATATATATTTTAACTTTTACATGGAAGTTAAAATTAACTTCTTGGGATAACATTGTTAAAGAATCCCAAGAATTTAGATCTCTATTTTAAAAAAATTAATAATAATTTTAACTTTTGTGGTGGTAGAGATAGTGATAAATAATGTGATCTCAAACAAATCTAAACAAACGCATTTGGTGCCACCATTTCACACATTTCGTTTTCTTGTTTGTGGGTAAAGCTAAAAAGTACGTACGTAATTATGCACATACCAAGGATTATACTCGGATCGGCACGTAATTTATTAGTATTTGATAGGGTTTTTTTAATAGATTAGTTTAGTCTTCCAACATAATTATATCGAAACCTGTTTCAAACGAGAGTGTTAGATGATAAATTAAAATTTGATAGTTGTTAAAAATATTTTAAAATGTGTATTTAAATTTTGTTATGAACTGATGATTTATGCTTTTTCTTTTGTTAATTTAGAACAAGTTATTTAAATATATTTTTTATCTGCTTAGCATTACCAAGATTCTCTCTCGTTAGTTGATTGAACGTTTCTAACTAAGTACGTGAAGAAAATTTGGATTTATTCACATTTGGAAGTAGAACAAATCATCTTTTACCCAAAATATATAAAATCGTCACTACTTTAAAGATATGAGAGAAATTTTAAATATATTTTCTTACTATGTTGAAAAAGTCATTTTATTATGGAATAAAATGAGTGAAGAGAATTATATACATCTTTTAATCTAACAAAATCCGGACAAGAACTTCAATTATCTCCACCGATCATTATTTTATTATATTTTGGTTTTTATTAGTTTATAACTTCATACATAAAAGCATATATATGGGCATAACAGAGACAAAACATATACAGTATCCAATATTAGTGTTTGACTTTCGTTATCAATGACAAAATTTTGAAACATATGTCTATGGAATTAATCTAAGACTTTAGTATCAGAAACATTTAATAATCTCATCACACTCTTCAGACTTTTGTCATTTAGGTTGGTTGGCATATAGTTTCAATGCTAACGGATTCGTTCTTTTTTCTAATCGCTATAGAGTATAGTGCATAACAATTTAGTTTATCTTGTCAGTTAAATCGATCTATACACACAAAAGGTAATGAGATGTATGATAAGTCAAGCTAAATGGTATTACTTATAAGATAAGTGTAGGAGTGCATAAGATACAAGGCATGTGAGGTCGATGTTCACATGCATCAAAGTTAGGATCAGTAAAAAAAAAAAAAAAATTGAAAATGAGATTGAAAGAGACAGCTTATCTTCCTTTAGACACTAAATTCAATAATTTCTTTTTTTAGCTTATGAATAAAGGAAACTAATTGACCTTTTTCTTTTCAACCAACAAAACTGGCCTTTTCTTGTTTTCATGTCAATACTCTTTCAACCTTTTCTTTTTCATCATCTTTTCGCAATAATTTTTACATATACAATGTATCTTTAACTTTTGTATGGAATACTACAAAATTTTACTAAAATCTAATATGAGAAAGAAGATACATAGAGAATTTAAAAAGTTTTAAACCATGAGTGTATATTTGTTTTTTGTTTCTATTTTCTTTTGTAATAATAAAACTTGAAACTCTAAGTTTTTATTGTTTGGTTTGCTACAAAATATCTGAGTGTGGTGAAAAAGAGTCATATGGATCTTAAAGCAAAATGTGTTCTCAAAAGTCGAGAATCATGTGATTGGTATAGAGAGACTACTAACCATTTTTTTACGAAAACCTTACTTATTATAATAAAGCAATTTCTCTTACATAAAGTATAGTTGTTGCATCGGATCCTTCAACATTAATTATAAACCCGAATGTTCGCAAACGCAAACAAAAATATTTACCTAAACAAAAACTCATATTTAGTTTACACGTACATAGTCGTATATTACTTGTATTATATAAAGCAAACCAAGCCACCAAAACCATAAAAAACACACTCTCTCTCTCTTATCTTTAAATTTTTTTTTCTTTCTCCTTTCTGCTTTAAGTCTGAGCTACGTTTCTTCTTCAAGATGGGTTTCTCGGACGCCGGTGTTTATCTCTCCGATCAAAACAATCTCCACGAGACGGAACTAGGGTTCCTCCGTGAATCCTCATTACACGCATCATCTCCACAACACGAGTTCCATATCATTCCACCTCGATATCAAGAATTACAAGATCAGGATCAAGATCTTGAAACTAAATCAAGAAAGACAAGAAACTGCTCTGGCAAAGGAGGAGTAAACTTCAAGAAAGAAGAAGAACAAGAGGAAGAAGATTATTGCAAGACTCCGACTCGTCTCGACCAGATTTTACCGTCGGTTCCAAACATTTGTCCACCGGCGCCGAGGAAACCTAAAAGTACTCCGTCGACGAGAAGCCTTAAGGTAAGGAATTCTTATAAAAGCAGGAGAATGATCATTCTAAATGTTTCTAAGGAGATTGATTGTCTCTTTAATCCAAAATCTCTATGTAATAAAATCAAGAAAGCCAGATATATATGATTGTTTCATATGTAATGTTATAACGTAGCTACCTACCTAATAAACCAAATTGTAATACACACTATGATCGAGTTACATAAATGTAGTGATGGGAATACTATTTCGTTTTTATATATCTTTCCTTGTACTATATAGTATTGCTATGTTTATTTTTTTTGACAAGTGACAAGTCTTTTGATTTTGTCTATCCTAGGCTTTTTGCATGCTTTTTTATTTATTTTTTCTTGAATTTTAACATATTTTATACATTCATCGGTAATAATCGGGCATGTATTGTATATGCACGACGATTAATAGAATATTACTAGAATACATATTTAAAGCATTGGAAATTGAAAAGCAGAGTTGGTAAAAATACTTTAAAGAGAGAGTTTAAAAAGATGATTTTAAATGCTTGATCACTGAAATCAAGATGTATGTGTTACCTTATTTGTCCGACTGGTCCAGCTTATGTCAAAATTCAAGAGTCAAGACGGCCTATCCAAGATTATGTAGTTAATACAGTAATGCAATGAACTAGTATACATATCTAATTAAGTTGCACCTCACGCATATGGATCTATCCAAGTGGGCTTATAGGCTGATAGAGAGAAATTGAAAAAGCCCAATTATAAATGTTTGTCCTCTGCCACATGTAGAGTCAAAAAAAATGTTATTATGGGATATGACGATTGGGGAGAATTCATGCTTCTTCAGTCTTCTCGGCATGACATAAACCATCAATTTTAACAAAGCCACATATTAGTCAAAGCCATTGATCATGTCTTAAAGTCTTTCTTTTTTTCCTTTTTTTTTTGCTAACTTGTAGATATCATTATTAATAATATGAATAGTCAGGCCTCACACATACGTTAAAACCTATACATTTAATTCCTTGGCAAAAACTTAGGTGAGAGTTCATCGCAGCCACGGTACCGTAAGAGATTACGGAAGTGTCTTCCTTAATTTTGGCTTCGAGCGGTGATAGTGATCTTAATCTCACGATCAAGTCTAAAAGTCTAGTCTCCCAACAAGATAATTAACACAGTTCACACCACATGCCTTGTAATGTACGGTGAGTGGCCTCTCCTCTCAATAAATAAACCTGATCGATACTTCACCTTTCCAACATGTTGTAGGAAAGATCAAGATAAAAGAGGTAGACTAATTAATTAATTTTGGTGTAGATCCTAATTAGATCTAGGCATTGGCTAGGGGAAATTAGTGTACCTAAGTTTCTAAGAAAGCTCTAACTTCTAAGAGTTTGAGGTTGACAATTTTAGATAATCACTGCAAAAGTTTGTATTCATAAACCTTTTGTAACTAAAGAGTCGTGAACAACAATTTAGGGACTATCCCCAAAAAATTTTTTTTTGACAATCATGAATATATTTCAATGAGTAATACAAAAATATTTTGGATAAAAACAAATAATTAAAATTTTAGGATAATTATTATAATTAACTAAAATTAGTTTAATAAAAATATTTTATCTTTGTAATTATTAATCATCGAATCACCACTACTAATACAAAATCAGTCATAATAAATATATATTCCATAAGATAGTTTAAATAAATTACCTTAAATTCTGAAATTTCCTTAAATGTTCTAAATATATATATTAAATTTTAGGAAATCACTTTGATGTCTTTATTCAACAAATGTATAACTTTATATAGTGAGGAGAGGGTGTCGATTTTTTGGATTTGTAACTTAGTAAATTGAATTCTTATAGAAAACACCTTTTCAACTTGTAGGATACAAGTATATACAAATCTTTCAAACTCATATGTTCTTATGTGATACATGTATATACAAAATTTCGTTCCATATTATACATTTTCATGATTCTTTTTAAAATACATGGGTTTTTGCTGATTGGATCGTCACCACATACATTGTGAGTATATAATTTGTTTAATAAACGTTCTTTTATTTGGTTTATTAAAATATTGTATTTAATTTCCGAAAACACACTTTTTCAAAGAATTGAAACCAAATATACATTTCGAAATAATAATTGATGATACTAAAATAAACAAAATAATAACACATATGACAAAACACATTAAAATAAAATAAACCTGAAAATATTCCTCCGCGCGGTAGCGCGAATCTAAACCTAACATACGTGACAAAGTACACATCCACGATAGTACATATTCTCATACTTGCCAAATTCATACCAACAATCCATTTTAACAATTAAAACTTTACATATTCAGAAGAAAAAACAAAAACCGACACTTTTCCCCGCGCTGTAGCGCGTTTCAGCGCGGGTCCGGGCCTAGTTATTAATAATAGGAACAGTCAGGCCTCACACATACGTTAAAACCTATACAATTGATTCCTTGGCAAAAACTTAGGTGAGAGACTGATAGTTCATCGCAGCCACGGTATCATAAGAGATTACGGAAGTGTCTCCTCTATGGCTTCGAGCGGTGATAGTGATCTTAATCTCACGATCAAGTTTAAAACTCTAGTCTCCCCAACAAAGACAACACAGTTCACACCACATGCCTTGTAATGGACAGTGAGTGGCCTCCCCTCTCAATAAATAAACCTGATCGATACTCTAGTACCTTTCCAACATGTCGTAGGAAAGATCAAGAAAAGGAGGTAGAGACTAATTAATTAATTTTGATGTAGATCTTAATTAGATCTATGCATTGGCTAGGGGAAATTAATATACCTAAGTTTCTAAAAAAATTCTAACTTCTAAGAGTTTGTGTTTGAAAATTTTAGATAATCACTGCAAAAGTTTGTATTCATAAACCTTTTTGTAACTAAAGAGTCGTGAACAACAATTTAGGGACTATCCCCAAAACCAGGGTTTTGACTTTGAGCAGACATTAAATGACTCCAAGTAGTGAGAAGTTATACCAAAAACTAATAACAATGACTTTTGGGATCAAGTTTGGGGCTTTGAGTTACCAAGTCTTGAGAGTCAATGGTTTATTACTCCAAGTAGCGTAATCCACTCATGTCAAAAAAGAAAGTTACTATATCAAATTGGGGCTTTCATTTACCAAAAATTAAGACCATCATTAATGGTAGCTTCTTAAACCTTAAATTTTTTTAAAAGATACTCTCTTAAGAAAAATTAAACCTTAAGAGTCTATCATTAAGGATGCCCTAATACCAATGACTTCGGATCAAGTTGGGGCTTTTAGTTACAAAGTCTTGAGTCAAAGGTTTATTTCACAGTCATCAATCATATATATAAAAGTAAGGTTTCACTCTCTCCTTATTGGTGGAAAAATATTTAAGGCTTTAATTTAAAAAATAAAATAAAATAAATGTTTATGATAATCATTCAATACAAAATTTAATTACACTATAAGTTATAATCAAATGGCAAAGAAAATGAAAGGACTTAATCATATCATTCAACAAAATAAATAAATAAATAAATGTTTATGACAATCATTCAATACAAAATTTAATTACACTATAAGTTATAATCAAATGGCAAACAAAATAAAAGGACTTAATCATATATCATACAACAAATTTTATAAGCCTTATTGGTGGAAAATTATTTAAAATCATATATATAAAAGTAAGGTTCCACTCTCTTTATTGTTCCATTTTGTATTTATTTTTTAAAATATAATATTTATTTTTAACCAAAAAACACATTTAATCATATACATTAATTCATAGTTTAAATTCACACTGTAGTACTAAAATGAAACTGAAAATTATATAAATTTCCAAAGACTATTGGTTTTCTATATTGAATTCCAATTAAACACACTATAAATTATAATTATAACTCCTCTAATTTAATTATTTTAAAAATGTAACTTACATCACTTCTTATCATATAAATAGTCATTCTCACATCCTTCTCTACCATATCTCATATCTTCATTATTCTCTTTGTTTTTTTTTAAGTTCTTGCATGGGGTGAAAACTCATTTAAAATATCATTGTAAGAGTTTGATTAATTATTTAGTTTAAACTTTTGTTTTCAATTTTTTTTTATTTTTTGTTTTTATGTATTTCTTTATGTCTTCATTGTTTTTTATATTTTTAAATGTAATACATATGTATAATAATATTTTATGGTTATAAGAAAATCAAGCTAAAGAAACCATCTTCATTCTTTTATTTTGGATGTTTGTTTCTTTCTCACATATTCATGTATATTTAATTTATTTTCAAAAGTATGTAATTTTTTAACAAAATAAACTTTTTGTTATATAATTATCAAACCAATTTGTAAGACATTCTTTTAAGAATAATGATCCTTATATTTAGTTTGTGATTCAACATGTAATAATACAAAGAACATTATAATTTGTTTTAACTTTGAATTTTATACTTGATTTCCTATCTAAAAAACAATTTGATATTCCATTTTCTATCTATTATATATACTACAAGGATGAAAAATATAATTAAACCTAGAAATATAACTTAAATTAAGAGGAATATAAAAAGAGATTAAAAATAAAATTATTTCTTGGGAATTTTTAAGGTTTCACTCTCTCCTTATTGGTCCATTTAGCATTTATTGTTTACTTATAATATTTATTTTTAATTAAACCAAATATTTAACACATTTAGTCATATACTTTAATTCATACTTGAAATCCACACTTTACTATTAAATTGTAACTTAAATTATATAACCTTTAATTGACTATTTGTTTGCTCCATTTAACTTCAATTAACATACTATAAAATATAATTATAACTCCTCTGATTTAATTATTTTAGAATTGTAACTTACATCATATTTTATCCTATAAATACTC